TGTGTGTTTTCATGGGGGCACACAGCCAAGCCCATCTGTGAACAGCCACTCTTTGTGGACACAGGAAGTATGGTGATGGTCACAGGGATTTCCAAGTTGTTCAAGAAAAAGAAACAGCTCCTCCACACTGACTGTGAATTCTTTAAACCTCCGACTGGTGAGGAAATGGATCACATCAGGACAGAAATGAGAGATGAACAGAGATGGCAAAAGTACACACATCCTTTACTCAAGTAGAAGTACAGATACTCGTGTTTGAAAATGGGGAAAGTAGAAGTACTGACTAAACTTCTTTACTCAAGTAAAAGTAAAGAGGGCTTTGAAATGTACTTCAGTAAAAAGTACCCATAACTAGCAGCTGTTTTAAAGAGTACCTGAGCTCCCTTTATATTAATAGAACAATAATGTCATTGTTAGCTAATGAATGTTTCCATGCTGAACAACGGCAACATGACAACGTTTTCATTGGTCCCTCTTCTTTAGAGAAGACCAGGAAATGATGGATACACGGATCGTGTTCAAATCAATAGGCACGCAATGACTCTAAATAATAATGATCACGCCACCAAACACACATTCAAACTAAAGGAACCAGCCTGTTTGGAAAATGTGAGAAGTAGAAAGTACAGGTATTTGTGTTCAACATGTAAGAAGTAGAAAGTACAGGTATTTGTGTTCAACATGTGAGAAGTAGAAAGTACAGGTATTTGTGTTCAACATGTAAGAAGTAGAAAGTACAGGTATTTGTGTTCAAAATGTGAGAAGTAGAAAGTACAGGTATTTGGGTTCAAAATGTAAGAAGTAGAAAGTACAGGTATTTGGGTTCAACATGTAAGAAGTAGAAAGTACAGGTATTTGTGTTCAACATGTAAGAAGTAGAAAGTACAGGTATTTGAGTTCAAAATGTAAGAAGTAGAAAGTACAGGTATTTGGGTTCAAAATGTAAGAAGTAGAAAGTACAGGTATTTGGGTTCAAAATGTAAGAAGTAGAAAGTACAGGTATTTGGGTTCAAAATGTAAGAAGTAGAAAGTACAGGTATTTGAGTTCAAAATGTAAGAAGTAGAAAGTACAGGTATTTGGGTTCAAAATGTGAGAAGTAGAAAGTACAGGTATTTGGGTTCAAAATGTAAGAAGTAGAAAGTACAGGTATTTGAGTTCAAAATGTAAGAAGTAGAAAGTACAGGTATTTGGGTTCAAAATGTAAGAAGTAGAAAGTACAGGTATTTGTGTTCAACATGTAAGAAGTAGAAAGTACAGGTATTTGTGTTCAACATGTAAGAAGTAGAAAGTACAGGTATTTGTGTTCAAAATGTAAGAAGTAGAAAGTACAGGTATTTGGGTTCAAAATGTAAGAAGTAGAAAGTACAGGTATTTGGGTTCAAAATGTAAGAAGTAGAAAGTACAGGTATTTGTGTTCAACATGTAAGAAGTAGAAAGTACAGGTATTTGTGTTCAACATGTAAGAAGTAGAAAGTACAGGTATTTGTGTTCAACATGTAAGAAGTAGAAAGTACAGGTATTTGAGTTCAAAATGTAAGAAGTAGAAAGTACAGGTATTTGGGTTCAAAATGTAAGAAGTAGAAAGTACAGGTATTTGTGTTCAACATGTAAGAAGTAGAAAGTACAGGTATTTGTGTTCAACATGTAAGAAGTAGAAAGTACAGGTATTTGTGTTCAAAATGTAAGAAGTAGAAAGTACAGGTATTTGGGTTCAAAATGTAAGAAGTCAAAGTTAAATAAAGAGTGAGAATGTATGCTTCCTTTTAAGCATGTGCTGTCCTCCAAACCTGTTCATTAACCTCCAAGAATGTATTTAAAGACTTTAAAAAATGCATATATAAACAAAAGAGACACAGTGATAGACGGTTATGTGGATTTGTTAGGATTTCATTAGTCCAGTCACTACAGCACTGTAAAATAATTCATTTTTGCAAAATCAATTCAAGTCTTGATCAAAAGTCTTCAGAAACAAATGAATATATTTATGTCCCTAGGTGAAAGCAATTGATATTGCTCAATTGAACTTTTGAAGGGCGGTAATAGGGTTTTGAAGTATTGATAGCATATTTTATTTAAAGGTGGGGTAGGTAAGTTTGAGAAACCGGCTCGAGATACACTTTTTGTTATATTCCATGGAATGCTCTTAACATCCCGATAGCAATGAATATCTGAAGTGCTTTGACAAAAAATCCATAAAAAAATGTCATCTGTGGAAGCCGTAATACTGTAAAAAGCACGACCAATCATTTTAGCCGGCCCGGCTAAAATAACTGGATGGCCTACCTGCCTGTCAGCCTTCCATCTGTGCACAAACTTATCTCGTGCCCTCATTGGTCATGTGCGCGTTCGTGTGTGTTGGAGGAGGGGCTCTGTAAGGAAGTGGCAGATTTTCTCCGGTTGTGTATTTTCTAATTCTAGCGATCTCGAGCCGGTTTCTCAAACTTACCTACCCCACCTTTAATGTGAAATGTGTTTTTAAAATTCGGCGAGGCGAGGCGTGGCGAGGCGAGGCGAGGCGAGGCGTGGCGAGGCGTGGCGAGGCGAGGCGTGGCGTATGACAATAAAATATATTGTCATGCTGCAGGGATGCCAGAGTCAGTGCATCCTATTCTACAGACTTGAGACTGTTTCAGATCCTCCTGAAACCACACCTTAATCTTTTAAATATGAGCTTCAATTAATCACTCAATCAATCTCATATGGCAAATCATATCTCAATTGAAATATCAGTCAAAATAATTGCGATTGGACATTTTTCAAAAGCATTTAGGCCTAATGTACACGCTTTCTTTTTCATTTTTTTTTTTTGTCTGTTTAAAATATCAGTTTTAGGGAACTGTAAAGAGCATTTTCAACTAGTTTCTTTGATTTTCTAGCCTGGTATTTTTGCTTAATTTCTGAACAAATGAACAAAGTCTGTGGTGTTTGAGAAGTGAACAAGGTTAGAAATGTATTAGACTTAATGATAATTGAATGTATAAGGAAACAATCATAAGTTGTAACCCTACAATAACCTAAATGATATCACAGCAACATGAAGATTATTCTCTTACATTGTTTGTGTTCGAACCAGTCTTAGAGCCACACCTATCGTAATCAAACCATCATAACCACCACAGCTGGAGGAGCCGCTCTAAAAATATGCATACAGTCTGTGTGAGTGCGCTCTGTATACATACATTTATATATATTTATATAACCTTACGTAAGAGCGTGGTGATGTGGTGTTTCCCTCAACATGCCGGTGGTGTTTTAACGGCCGTCATCTGTGTTTGAAGCTTTGAGACACAGCTGGACTCAAGATATTAAAACTCTCTCAGGCCTAGAAGACACTTTTTTTAGTTTCCAGATCCACGACGTCTTCATATTCACGTCAGGAGGCTGGATGTAAAGAAGTGCGTGCTGTCAATATCCCTCCCTGTATTCATAATGTATTATGGAAGTATGTGGGTAGTTTACCAAGTGGTTCCATATGTGTAAACGTACTAAAAATAGCAACTTCTCTGCCACTGGAATAACTTAAATTGGAAGTAAATGGGAAGCTACATTATTAACATCTGTATTTCTCTATGGCAGACATTGTGTTTTTGTGTAGCAACCGTGGAAAAGTGATGTTTAAGTCATTATAGAGGCAGACAAATAATACAGACAGTATGAAAACACATCCTTTTCTCTCCATTTTAGGCTTTCACTCATGGTACTGACGCTTTTTACGCTGTTGATCACTGAGCTATCATTGTGGTAGATACATTTTAAAAACACTGGCCTTGTGTTGTGTTGTGAATGGAGTAAATGGTCCTGGTGTGTGGATGTTAGTAAATCACTCCAATGGATTATTTATCTTGCAAAACATCCCAGAGTCCAATGGTATGTCTTGATTTGTACGACCAACAGTCCAACACTGAGGGACATCCCGGCAACTATCATATATAAGAAGAAAGCAACAAATCCTCCCATCACGACGGCGATGTGTGGCGCAGTGGGTTGTGTGTAGGTGTTCGGATCAGGGGGTCACAGGTTCAAACCCCACTGCAGTCAGCATGTCGTTGTGTCCCTGAGACACTTCACCCCAAATTGCTCCTGTGGGGATTGTCCACAGTATTGAGTATGTAAGTCGCTTTGGATAAAAGCAAGTAACATGTAATAATTTCAGAAGGTGTTACAGGGGGAAATGTGGCAGTGTTGCTTTAAAAATTGCATATTTTAAATCACGTGGTAGTCATAGCTGTCCGTTAAAGAAGAATCACCACATAAAGCTTGTCATGTCCAATTTTGGTGTTTTGGGGAAGAACATATTTAAGATTTTGGACCTTCTACAACCTGAGCATTAAGATATGTTCCCTCATTAAAGGGGTTATGGGATGAAATGCTTGTAGCACTTTACACACTTCCATTGTATCTGTTTTATTTGTTTTATGTTCTATATATATGTTGCACTGTTGGATGAGCCTGTGACCTAAGTTTTTCATTGCCATATCTACACTGTAGCTAATGTGCTAATGACAATGAAGCCTTGAATTGAATAAACCACACTGTAACACATTTCTGTAATGTAGGCAGTAAATGACTGTATTACCCACAGTCATTTACTTTGAATTTGTGATACAGTGTGATACTGTACATTATGCTGCATTGTGGGAATATTATCCTTAGGCGGGACATTTATACAGCACTTTAAAACCATACTGTAATATTACAGCAATACTGTAATGTTACAGTAAAGTTTGTTGTTACTGTACAATATTTTGCGGCGAAAATATCTGAGCAAGAGGAGAGAACCGCTGTGACCTTAAACGGATATTTAGCTGCAGCTGGATTTTACTGACATGACCAATTTTGGTGTTTGTAGGAAGAACGTATTCAAGATTTTGGACCTTCTACAACCTATGAGCATTAAGATATTTCCCCACATTAAAGGTCTGAAATGCTTGTCACACTTTATAAACCAGCTGCATTTTACTGACATGTTTCCCTACCCATTCTGTCTCTGTCCCTGCAGGCAGCCGCCCCACGGTGCAGTACGTGTCTTCGCTCTCCGAGCTGCCCCAGGCTCTGCAGCCATACTACACTCAGGGCTACGTCCTGACCGCCCTGCATCCCATAATACTGTCTGTGGGCCGGAGCCGCTCGCTGCCCTTCAGCCTGCTGTACCGCGCCATCATGGCCCGACCCAGGTCCAGGTACACACAAACTAACCCTCTTTGTTAGAAAAATATCACTCGTCACCGGCTTGAGCTTCAATATCAGGATCCATGTATTTATGATCCTCTCAAGAATGGAAGTAGTCATCACATACAGAGCATTTGGTCCAACTAGTTCCTCAAAAAAATCTCAAAATTCGGACTTTTTCAGAATACTTAAAATTAATAATAATCACTCATCACCGTCAACTAGTTACATTACATTACATGTTACTTGTTAGACGCTTTTATCCAAAGCGACTTACATACTCAATACTGTGGGCAATGCCCACAGGAGCAATTTGGGATGAAGTGTCTTGCCCAGGGACACAACGACATGCTGACTGCAGTGCACTTTAGTTCCTGAACAGTGTCCTTCACATGCTGATATCCAAGAGAGGGAGTTACACAGTCACAAGATGGAGGAATATAAAGCAGTATTCAATGTTTACTTCAGATTAGCTCCACGTCAGAAATGATCATGCTTGTCATATGTCTATCTCCATATAGGCTGAATCATCATGTTAATCACATAGCTATCATATGCCTCAAACAGTCCTGATGCTCTTCTAGGTAATCATACATCCTGTCATGTACACAGCTACAGTTGGGATACCTTTGTTATCATGGTACTCTCATAGTGGAAGAGTACATTCAGATATTTTCCCAACAGTCTTTAATCCTTAAACCAAAAATTAAGTGGTTTTAATACTTGCTGCTTTGAAATTACCCTTTCTTTTAAAAATAATCTTTTTTTTATGAGTGTAAGTGCAGATAACCATAGTTCTAAACTTTTCTTCATATGCAGTTGTGAAGAAGAACATGAGTTACGGTTAAGTGGAGCCTGGGAGATATAAAATGTTGTCATATGCATAAACAAAATGTCAATAATCTGAACACTGACTAACTAAAATCCTACCTTCACAATGTTCAGCAACTACATCTCTCAAAATGTCAAATACTGGATACATTCGGAGATTAAATACTGAATAGTTTTACTTTTGTATCACTCTGATAGAAAAATATGGGCTAATTCCACCTTTTGAAATATAAATAATCCCTAATTAACAGAAATATTGAATATTTAGTACCTCCAGGACTCCTGTAAAATCCTTCAAAAATATTAAATATTCATCGGGACTATAATATCCTTAAAAAAAAGTAAAATACTAAATATATTCATCTGTCGAACTCCAAAGTCCTTAAACAAAGGGAAATATTGGATTTGTCTACATTTGAGATGTACAGCAATCCTTAAAATAGGTGAGATATTGTTTTAGTTTCTTTTACCTTTTAAAAAATCCTAGAAGTAATCCATTTGAGAAAAGGAAATATTGGCTTATTAACATTAAAGTCAGACTTAAGATGACCCTTTTTGAATATCACACAACAGCGACATTCATGTATTTGTATTTGCTATGTTTGTAAATTTAATTTTCTTAAATGTTTTATGTGAGGGACTGCGGATGGAAAGTAGCTCAAAGCTAAATCCAGCATATTTACGCTTGGCACATTTATTGTTTCAAGTGTTCATTAATGTGCAATGTCCTTACCAAATAAACGATTAAATAATAAATAACATACTTAAGTGCATCATCTGAATAAAAACAAAAAATCGAAGTACCAAATATGACAAATAATGTTGTTTCTGTATATTCAAAATTGAAGCGGCCCAAGACTAGATCCCTGTGGAACGCCATTTCTGATTGCAAATGTAACTTCTACTAATATGATAGTCATTTCAACCTTAAGACTTTCGTTTTTTAAGTAATGATACATATACATATACATACATATAATCCCTATACATGCTGTGTGTGACTCCCCTTCCTCTCATGCCTTCCCACTGTGCCCCACATGTTCACCTCCATACTGTCTAGTAAATAGATGAATGATGGATGAAGTCAGCTGCATATTTAATGCAGAGCTCTGGTAGGAGGTCAGACTGTCGTGCCTGCTGTAGACTTTGTTTTGGTTTTACTTAATGTCTACCCTGATTTCTATTGGCTGGAAATCCACCCGACAACAGGGGTCCCTCAGCAGCCAATGGGGATGAAGTATTTATCAGCGCTGAGGTTTGATAGGATAAGATACTGTTACTATGATGAGGATTTTTATTTCATAAAATGGAAGTAGAGGTGAATTAATAATGGTAATGATGAGGTTTTTATAAAAAAATGAACCCCAGGGAAAAACTCTGTACTGAACTTAAGAATCTAAGTTTTACAGATTGATTTAATCATCTAATCAATTAGTCAACAATTATGAGTGTTGGTCTACTGAGATATCTTTAGTAAATGAGTTTGAATTTGTGCATAATTCTTTGTGGATGTTTTTTAAATATTTCAATTAAATCAACTAATCAATTAGTGGACATGATGAGAGTTGGGCAACTAAGATTTCTTTAGTTTAATTTCTTAAGGACATTTTCTTGTACTTTTGCATACTGTCTTTGCAAGTCGACTCAAAGCCCTATCAAGTTCTGTGTTTCTACCTTCATGTTGAAAATGCAGTATGTTGTGTATGACTTGTCATCACTTCAGTTGCCTAAATGGTTGTTTACCCTTTGAGTTAATTGCTCAGACAGTAGGTGGCAGCCGCCCCCTGCTGAGCGTGAATCATTGATGTGTGGGTGTCTGCAGCTCTGTGACAAAAACAAGTGAACTCTGAACCCTCCAGCTGGGCTATAATCCAGAAACTCCCCAAAGACATCTGCACTGTCACTGCTCATCTTCTTCTGTCTAATACAGGGGTGTCCAAACTACGGCCCGGGGGCCAAATACGGCCCTTTGTCCATTTCTAATTGGCCCTCAGCTAATTCTTAAAGTATAATGGAATATGGCCCCCACCTGAAACTCATGCTTGTCTTATATATATTGAACTTCTTAAATCAATATGTGAGCCTATATTACACATTAGTTTTCATTTGTTAATAAGCCCACTTTTCAAATACATTAAGTCAATTAGAGCTTAGAACATGTTCTAACAAATCTTAGTTTGATTTCCATAACAAGCTTTAAATATACCCTTCATATTTCCCCTTATTATAAGCAATCTGAGGCTTCTGTTTTAAGGGAAGAGCTGCAACAGGATAACTGAAACCCTCTGGAGAGCTGGGATGTTTCTTAAATCATAGTCAAAGCATAATTGACCTACATTTGATTGATTTTGCTGAATTTTGCTGAATTAATGTGTGTGTGTGTGTGTGTGTGTGTGTGTGTGTGTGTGTGTGTGTGTGTGTGTGTGTGTGTGTGTGTGTGTGTGTGTGTGTGTGTGTGTGTGTGTGTGTGTGTGTGTGTAGTGTGTGTGTGTGTGTGTGTGTGTGTGTGTGTGTGTGTGTGTGTGTGTGTGTGTGTGTGTGTGTGTGTGTGTGTGTGTGTGTGTGTGTGTGTGTGTGTGTGTGTGTGTGTGTGTGTGTGTGTGTGTGTGTGTGTGTGTGTGTGGGGTGTGTGTGTGTGTGTGTGTGTGTGTGTGTGTGTGTGTGTGTGTGTGTGTGTGTGTGTGTGTGTGTGTGTGTGTGTTGTGTGTGTGTGTGTGTGTGTGTGTGTGTGTGTGTGTGTGTGTGTGTGTGTGTGTGTGGTGTGTGTGTGTGTGTGTGTGTGTGTGTGTGTGTGTTGCAGTAAGCAGATGGCGTCCATGTGTTACAGCGTGCCGATGTTGAAGGTGGAGGAGTGGCCGTTACCTGGAGATTCGCTGACGAGCGACACGGTCCGAGCGCTCATCGACAGGGTCAGTGAGAATTAGATTTACTGCACCTTAGACGCCATAAAAGTATCTATAAATACACGAGGGAGCTGTATTTCAAATGTTACTCCAGGCCTGTGGTTCCCACCCTGTGTGTTAGCTGCCCAAACATTTAAATAAGAGGGGCCACCAGATGATAGATTTATGCTTTAAAGAAACAATTCTATGTCGTTTTTATCCCTTAGGCCTTTAAATAAATACTGGATGATGTAATATTTTCAGGTTTGTAATAATCGCTACATAATATTTTCACATTTTCATGACTTTAAAGACTCTCATTAAGTATACAATGTTAAATACATTTATCATTTCAGGGTTCTTAAGATGCTTAAAGGAATACTTACTGATATACTGACTTTCTCCCTTTTTAGGGGAGACTCAAATAAAAACATGTCAATTGTAAAATATTAGATATCATCACGAGCTCCGACGTCACGTTGTTGTTTACGTCTGCAGCGCCATCTTGTATACGGGCGTCATGTTCTCGCGAGAATTGATATATCTTATATACAAGATCAGCGCCACAGTGTTGCCCTCATACTATAATCTTTTTAGAAAAACCCTGCTTTTCAGTATACTTTAAAGGGGACCTATCATGCAAAATGCACTTTTGTACGTCTTTTCTACATGAATATGTGTCCCCGGTGTTCCAGGGAACTCACCAAGTGTCAGAAAACACAACCCTCTCTATTTTCCTCCATACCCAAATCTCTAAAAAAGGGGCTGCAACGGACCTGATAAAAACTGATCCAGATTTGAACACTGTCCTGACGTCAGGACAGTGGCGCTACGGCTATTGGGCCAACTCCACCAATCAGGAGGAGACAGCCACGGCCATTGCCGTTCGAAAGCGCTGGAGACGCTGTAGTACATATGCCAGGCCTGTAGATGGTGCTGTTCTCACATAATCAGCCCTTGCAAAAACAGAGCTAACATTTGGCATGGCTAAAATGCATGATCTGTTTGGTATTTAGAAAAGAAAAAGTATAAATATGCCTTATATAGGTATGGTCCTACACTACATTATTAAAATATAGCATGATAGGTCCACTTTAAGTATAAAAAATCCCTAAAAGAAGTGACATACTGGACCATTGTACTTCTTTTCATGACTAAACAACGAGTCACATGTGGATATTTGTATAGCTTTTCATGATTCTAAAATACTTTTTTTAGACTTAAAATCCCTAAAACAATTTGAATCAATTACCTCTTCAAGCTTCTTGCATTCTTAAAATAAATAAAGTATAGACTATTCTCACATTTTCAGGAGTTAGATGTGCTTAAGTGAAATACTAACACTTTGACTCCGGGTTTTTTTGTCTGTGTGGCAGGTGAACAGCAGTGAACAATTATAATCAATTACCTCTTCAAGCCTCTTGCATTCTAAAAATAAATAAAGTATAGCATATTCTCACATTTCAGGAGTTACATATAGTGAAATACTAACTCTCTTTTTTTGTTTGTCTGGCAGGTGAACAGCAGTGCTCGTGGGGGCGTTCGATTCGTTGGCTCGGTCCTCCAGCAGGTGAGCGGGGTCACTAACGGTGGAGTTCACAGCCCAAAGAGGGGCTGCCGCTCCCCCCCGAGATCCCCCCCCCGAACCCCACCTGGAGACGCAGAGCTGGAGGAGCACACCTACAGTCCTGGTGAGACCCTCCCTGCAAGTTCGTACTTCTTTGGTTATTATTATTCATTTATTGAAAACAATATCCCTATTGATTTGAGTACATATTCTCCACAAATACAGGCGGTGACAATACAACAATGACACATGCTCAAATGAGTCAGTGATTCATGTTTATTAACATAACTTACTTTACACACTTGACCACGTAACAACATTTAAAAACAGTGAGAAGACATGGGATCAAATCAAAGTGACAGAAAAATTAAATATTAATTAATCAAATTAAAATAACTGAAATAAACCAAACCAAATATGTAATTGGTTAACTGGCACATTTCTAAATGAGATATCTAGATTGCAGTGGTTTTTATGAAAACAATTTTTTTCATAATTTATGTTTCTACAGTTTCTGCTTATGATGTATGGTTTAATTTTGGCTAATCAAAAAACAACATTTATTTCAGTCCTCGGCTCGTTTCAGCGATCACAGGGTTAACAATTAATATTGCAATAATAAGTTATCAGTGGTTGAAGAAGTACTCAGATCTTTGACTTAGTAAAGTATGTGTAAATGTATGAGCATCAAAATGTACTTAACTAAAAGTACTCATTATGCCCTTTTCAGAATCCTATATATACATTCAATATTATTGATGCATTCATCGTCACTTTGATGTTGCAGCTGAAAAAAGTTCATTTAATTTACTTTATGTATTAAGTGCCGTAGCTTAATCAATAAGAATACATAATTTATGAATTGATTTATATATTTGTTATTAATAATCAAAATCTGCAATGTAGTAAGTAAGTACAATATATTTATAATGCACTTTTCCCAGACATCGTCACAAAGTGCTCAACAAAGCATTAAAACATCATACGAATCATAAAAGATTAAAAGACCACACAAGCCACGAGTTAAGAAGTGCTAAAAACACAATACACAATAAAATCATAGAATAAAAGCACACAAGTTACCAAGTTAAAGTGGACCTATCATGCTATATTTGAATAATATAGTGTAGGACCATACCTATATAAGGCACATTTATACTTTTTTTTTTTCAAAATACCAAACAGATCATGCATTTTAGCCATGCCTCATTTTGCTCAATTTGACAATTTCTAGCTCTGTTTTAGCAAGGGCAGATTCAGTGAGAACAGCACCATCTAGAGGCCTGGCATATGCACTACAGCGTCTCCAGCGCTTTCGAACGGCAATGGCCGTGGCTGTCTCCTCCTGATTGGTGGAGTTGGCCCAATAGCCGTAGCGCCACTGTCCTGACGTCAGGACAGTGTTCAAATCTGGATCAGTTTTTATCAGATCCGTTGCAGCCCCTTTTTTAGAGATTTGGGTATGGAGGAAAATAGAGAGGGTTGTGTTTTCTGACACTTGGTGAGTTCCCTGGAACACCGGGGACACATATTCATCTACAGTATAAAAGACGTACAAAAGTGCATTTTGCATGATAGGTCCCCTTTAAGTAGTGTTGTCACAGAAGTGCAGTGCAGTAGTAGGAGTATAAAGAAGTGTAAAATGGAGGTTCTCCAGTGAAGTACCTGTCCATGTGTTCCTGCCCCTCCTTCAGACCTGAGGCTGCTGGTGTTCTTCCACTGCTGGGCTCCGGGCTGCGCTCCTCTCGACTCGCTGGCCTGTCAGTACCACCAGGGGGCGCTCTCCATGCGCGTCTCCAGGAAGGGTCAGGTGGTCAGCTCCCTGGAAGCTGATTGGCTGGAGCTCACCGCCGCTTACTACCGAAAAGGCTGGTCGCTGGTGGACTCCTTCGTGTACTGGGACACGCCCAAAGGTTTGGATTCATGTCGGATTCACATCACTGAACCTGGATAGATACAGGCAGCAGGGGGGGGGGATACTCTGATTTTTAATTAGGCAAAAGTAGAAATACCACTGTCTAATAATACTCCAATACAAGTAAAAGTACTGAATTCAAAATGAAAGCTTAGTGAAAGTACAAAAGTATTATCAGCAACATTCCCTCTCAAAGATTTTTCATATTATTCTGTTTTGATCTCCAATGAAAAGTGAGATGTTTCTATTGGTATAGTTTGTCATTTGTGTCAATTAACACTTGACTTTTTTAAATATCTCATGATCATTTTTTTATATAATCGATAATTGTTGAGTCTTTGACACTTTTGGGCGAACAAAAAGTCTAAATACACCAAAGTATTTACTGTACATTGATATAAGATACAAAAGGAAGCAGGACATATTCTCATCTCTCTTTGTTTTGCTTGAATTATGATAAATGGATGATCAAAATAGTTGCTTGCCAATAATGTTTCTGTCATTCGATTTATCTTTTAATAATCTAATTGTTTTGGCTATACTTTGTGAACTACCAGGTAGCATGTTACTGCATCATATCACACGTTTCTGATGTAACTAAAACCTAAATCTGTCAAATAAAGGCAGTAAAAAGTAGATTTAACTATGAGATGTAGTGGAGTAAAAGTAAAGAGTAGCAGAAAATAAAAAATCTCAAGTAAAATACCTCAAAATTGTACTTTAATGCATACTAGTGCATAGTCAATGTAGTAAATGTTACATTTCTAAAAAGTAAATGCATGTGACAGTTTGTATTTCCTAGTTTGAATTGTTTTTAGTTAGGTGTTTCCATCTGTAAGTTAAAGGTGGGGTAGGTCATTCACTTCAGAAACACTTTTTGTTATATTCCATGGAATGCTCTTAACATCCCGATAGCAATGAATACATGAAATGCTTTGACAATAAATCCATAAAAACATGTCATCTATGGAAGCCGTGGTACTGGTACACGACCAATCATCTGAGCCGGCCCGGCTAAAATAACTGGATGGCCTACCTGCCTGTCAGCCTTCCATCTGTGCACAAACTTATCTCGTGCCCTCATTGGTAACACACACTCACATACTGTAACACACACACAGACACACACACACACTCACATACTGTAACACACACACACTCACATACTGTAACACACACACAGACACAGACACACACTCACATACTGTAACACACACACAGACACACACACACACTCACATACTGTAACACACACACACTCACATACTGTAACACACACACACACTCACACACACACACTCACTCACACTCGCATACTGTAAAATAACTGGATGGCCTACCTGCCTGTCAGCCTTCCATCTCGTGCACAAACTTATCTTGTGCCCTCATTGGTCATGTGCGCGTTCGTGTGTGTTGGAGGAGGGGCTCTGTAAGGAAGTCTGAAGGAAGGGGCAGATTTTTTTCGGCTGCGTACTTTCAAATTCTAGCGCACTCGAGGAGCTGGTTTCTCCATTCTTACCTACCGTACCTTTAAGGGAGTGAAGAATATTTGGGATTTTTTGGTTAAAAGGGTTAAGAGCGACTGGTGTTTTCCTTTCCTTCCTTCCTCTACCTTTTCCATTATAATTTTTTCTCATAAAACTGTGATTCACACAAACACACAGACTCAGCCACTTCCTGTTTTGGCTGCGGTCTCTCCTCTCTCCCGCTGACGGTCTAAATCTGGAAGTCTCCCCGACCTCGACGACCTCACTTCCTGTTCCTCTGCGGAGAAGCAGGCAGAGACCTCAGACGCCTGAAATAAATGGACATAATACACACACACACATACTGTAACACACACACACAGACTCACATTGTAACACACACTCACACATACACACATTGTAACACACACACTCACACACACTCACACACACACTCGCATACTGTAACACACACACTCTCACACACACACATACACACACTGTAACACACACTCACACACACGCACATACTGTAACACACACACAACCACACATGAACATACTGTAACACACACACTCACACACTCGCATACTGTAACACACACACTCTCACACACACACTGTAACACACACACACACACACACACACACACACACACACACACACACACACACACACACACACACACACACACACACACACACACACACTGCAACAAGATCCCTCCATAGCAAGAGTTTAACCTATTTCTAAAAACTGGGTCAATATCAAGCCAATGACATCCTCTTTCTGTTTCCTCTGCCTTGTTTTCACCACTGAGAATACTTGCTGTTAATCATCTGCCACCTGTAATAAATGTGTGTTACTATATGCAATGACACAACGTGACAATACTTTTTAAAGTGACTTCTTGTGTGTTTTATTCCAGGCGAGCCGGTGCCCAGATCTCTGGAGGGACTGTTTGTGTACGAAGAGAGGAGCACCTCTCCTCCCGCCAACGACACCATCGTGGTGGAGCAGTGGACCGTCATCGAGGTGTGTGTGTGTGTGTGTGTGTGTGTGTGTGTGTGTGTGTGTGTGTGTGTGTGTGTGTGTGTGTGTGTGTGTGTGTGTGTGTGTGTGTGTGTGTGTGTGTGTGTGTGTGTGTGTGTGTGTGTGTGTGTGTGTGTGTGTGTGTGTGTGTGTGTGTGTGTGTGTGTGTGTGTGTGTGTGTGTGTGTGTGTGTGTGTGTGTGTGTGTGTGTGTGTGTGTGTGTGTGTGTGTGTGTGTGTGTGTGTGTGTGTGTGTGTGTGTGTGTGTGTGGTGTGTGTGTGTGTGTGTGTGTGTGTGTGTGTGTGTGTGTGTGTGTGTGTCATAATGATTGTGCATGACCTCAATCTGACAGAAGTTACTTGATGTCAAAATGAAAGTGCAGTATCAGTCAGGAAACAGGATTTGTTTAAGGGTGAGAGGGCAGTACATCTTATTGTCTTGTTGATTGTTATTATGTAAGCTGTTGTTATTTGTTTTATATGTAGAGCCATTTCACTTTTCCTGATCCTTACATTGGGTTTGTCTTTTCTTGTTCTACTGATACTGATTTCTTTCCAAATGGAGTTTTTGAGCCTTCGGTTTTGCTTTTCCTCACTTCCTTGTGTCATTTCTGGTCCCAAGAAACCAAGATGGCTACGGTCAAAATGCCAAAATCAAATCTCAAAATCCTCGACTATAACCAACAGGTGACGTCACAGTAAATCCAGACTATTAGCTAGCTGTATCACTGAGCATGCTCCTTTTCATGCTCCAATCAATGAGAGGGCTGCCTATTTACACCCCGGGCTACCCTGGGAAAACTGTTCTTTTTAAACTAGTTCCCCCCAAAAAACGAGACAAGGCTAGGCGAGTTAAATAACTGTAATTAGGTTCATAGCTTTATGACATGTTATAATGCAGACATGTTATCAAAGTCAACTTTATTGTCAATCTTTCAGTTTGTGTGTACAGAGAGATCGAATTACCGTTTCCCACAATCCTGAATACAAATTATAACCACGGACATACAATATATTCTCCTTCCTCAACACCCGACTGTTGTAAGATGCTCTTATATAAATGTATTTATTGTGTTTTCTCTCAGGGCTCTAATGTGAAGACGGACTACGGACCCCTGCTTCACACGCTGGCTGAGTTTGGTTGGCTGCTCACCTGCGTGCTGCCCACTCCCATCATCCGCCACGACAGGTAGATCTAACACCAACTCAGTCTGATCTGCACCTTTTTAAAGCTGCTATAAGATTACAACAAGCTAACGTGTGTGTGTGTGTGTGTGTGTGTGTGTGTGTGTGTGTGTGTGTGTGTGTGTGTGTGTGTGTGTGTGTGTGTGTGTGTGTGTGTGTGTGTGTGTGTGTGTGTGTGTGTGTGTGTGTGTGTGTGTGTGTGTGTGTGTGTGTGTGTGTGTGTGTGGTGTGTGTGTGTGTGTGTGTGTGTGTGTGTGTGTGTGTGTGTGTGTGTGTGTGTGTGTGTGTGTGTGTGTAGTGTGTGTGTGTGTGTGTGTGTGTGTGTGTGTGTGTGTGTGTGGTGTGTGTAGTGATGGGAATCTGGCCACGAAGCAGGTTGTGTTTCTGCAGCGTCCGGTCAGAGGTCAGGCAGCGGGGCAACAGAGGATCCCGGTAATAGTATTTATTTACTCTTTATTTGAAACAACATTAAGAGAGAAGACACAAAAATTACATGATATTAAACAAACAAATACAAAAAAGTATAGAGGCATTTGTATGCATCAATATTTATGTATATAGTATAACGAAATAAATCCATCTTAACATCTGTCAGTGTGGAGCTGCAGGGAGGAGCTTTCTATGTGGCTACACTGCCCCCTGCTGAGCAAACTTGAAACTGCACTTCCGGCGTTCATTCTCCCCACTGCAGATTTTGAAAGCAGGACTTTTACTTGTTGCACTGTGTATTAGTGCTTTAATTGAGTAAAATATCTACTTGTTCTGTCAGTTCCTTTGAAGCTAGGACTCTAAGACAGGCAGTTTTTGTTACTAAAATCTAAAATCAGTTAAATATGAATAACTTTGCCCTCATGTATCTAACTCCTGTTCCCCCTGCAGACCCTCTCGGTGCACAGCGAGGTTTCCAATCGCTCCGTGAGTCGGTCGGTCAGCAGCCCCCTCTCCCCCCCCGAGGATCCCTCTCCCACCGCGGGGGGCATCGGGGGCTTCCCAGTGTTCGGGGGTGGGGGGTATCCCAGCTCCCTGTCCCACCTGGAGGAGGGGGGCTTCGAGCAGGAGGAGGGGAAAGCTGAGGTCACCTGCATGTGAGACGGAGGATTACTGAAGGAAAATCCACGGACATTTTTTAATTTAACAGAGACTTTAACGTAGAAGAACTCGGCACTTTTATAAAAATAATGTTTTTCATGAAGCCATAATGAGGATGAGGTATACTTTTAGATCTATGTCCAGACTTTAAGATATGTTAAGGGAAGAAACACATACACACTTTATGTTCTTCAAGTGCACATGGGAAATTGTCACATTAAAGCACAGATTTCTGCACATTTTTGGAAACACTGGTGGTGAAATGTGGTAAAATGGCGCCAGCTCACATCATCTTAAAAGTTGAATTCCTTCACAGTTAAACACATTTTATTTTCCCATTATTATATATGTGTGTACATGTTCTTCCACACCTTCACATGCGCTCCTTGTATTTCTAAATAAAAGCTCCTCTCCTATGAAAGGAAGGTTATTCAGGTCACTTTATTCCTGTGTACTTTGGTACTGACAGTAGTACATTTGTACACATAACAGTATTTCTCTGAGGAAAGTCTGAAGTATTTTCCAGTTCTGGTGCTATGAGGATTCATATCAGTGTTTTTAACCTCCCTCCTAATTCGTGCCATTTCGTAATCATTCTGGAAATGGTTGTGTCTCATCATGCATACATTTAAAGTATTATTTCATATCTCATCAGCCATGATATGCATTGTTTTCCTTTAGTGCAAAGTGCTGTTTTGCAGCTTGTATGGTACTGGAAATACACCTGCTACTTTTCTTATATTAATACAATAACATATGTAATTCCTTAAAGGGTAACTTGTATAAAGCATCAGTTTGTTCTAAGGACTACAAGTCGTTCCGTTGCATTGTGGGTAATGTAGGCGACAGGTTTAGAATAGGAACACAATCATGAATTTTATACTTTTTTTTATAAAACGGTATGTGAACAGTGTTATAGGAGGGACTATGTTAAGTGGAGTCCTATAAGAGCAACGAAAGGGATTTTTTTAAGAGGACACATTGCTGTTGTATATATATTTAGATCAGAGTTCCCGTTAGAATATTTTTTTGCCGGTCAACATGTCCGTTAAAGTTGAAATCTTCCGGACAAAATTAGATAAGTGCCGGTTAAAGGTCTTCTTTGTTATTTATTGAGCTTTAAAACAAATTGATATGATTCGACATTAAACAAACTAATTATAGTAGATTAACTACATTATTCAAAAGTGTACAGTAATTTACAAAAACGCGGGAATAATAAACGGAGCGCTCTCTCCTTCTCCTGACAGCCCGTCAGTATCATGCAGCTCGCGGATCCAGTAATGAGTGACCCGACAGTAAAACTAAACATATCTATAACTAGTTTAGGTAGTTTGAGAGGTAATTAAAATAGCTACGTGTGATTTTCTAACCTGAAGTGTGTTTTGCTCTGCTCGCCGCTGCAGGGGATCATGCAGAGCTGCGTGTCGACTCGTCAGCAGCAGCCGATCTCTCTCTCCTGTCAGATTAGACTTTACTCGCATTTATGTCCATATCGATCAGATCTAGCTAGTTCTAGCTAATGATATGACTACCTGCTTGTTAAAAGACACCTAAACAATAAGCGTCGCTATGCAACCGGATGAGGCCACAAAGTATAGCGCAGCATTATGCATTTGTTTACATGCCCACCGGAACCCCGAGGCATTACCAACAGATCAACGCACAATCAACCCATACAGGACATCTCTTTCTCCACATTAAGTGTTAGACATTAGAATTGACAATTTTTGTCTGTCACATACTCTTTTGTCTGTCACATACTATTCTTGTCTGTCACATAAGTGGCGCAACTGATGCGGTATTGCGCTAAGGGAAAATTATTTTGACCGGACATTTTGACCGGAGAGATTTAGATTTGCCGGACTTCAGCATATTTTACCGGTCATTGTCCGGTAATTACCGGCTAACGGGAACTCTGATTTAGATGTTAGTATCCATTGTGCAGATTTGGGTTTCAGATAAATGTGATGCATGTTATTTTGCTTTTTCGGGGAAAAGAGATGAAATGCAACTAGTTCAGGTATATCAGTGATGTACACACCACTCATTTATACATGTTTTAAATGTATTAAACTCTCAAATTCTGTGTCAGCATTTACTAAATTTCAGTTTTAAAATTCAAGCCTTTCATCTAATTTTCTTTTGCAGATTTGTACATTTTGCTCCCTCTTTTTATTGTATTAAACATTTATTTCCCATGGTTTGAGAGTCGTGTCATTAACAGCATCGTATACAGTGTTCATTATGACTCGTTCCTGTCCTTATTAATCCTGTTGAGTTTCACAGGTTCAACCGTTCAAAGCTTTCGGTACCACTTTACAATAAGACTACCCTTATGGACTCACAAAGGGTTTATAATAATAATAATAATAATATATTTTATTTATAAGCGCACTTTTCATTTGCGTAAGCAAAACTCAAAGTGCTAAATTATAATTAGGTTAAGGATTAGGTTGTAAACACTTTATTAATCAGTAAGGACCATTTATAAACCAGTTCTAACATAGTTTTCATACATCAACACAGGCTCACTATTTAATAATAATAATAATAATATTATTTGGCAAGATGACTAAGCCTTATATTGGCTACTTAGCGAGAATCAACTCAGTGAACAACAGATACCAAGGATGCTGGCTGATGAAGAACACGAAGTAAGCTAGGTAGCCAATATAAGGCAGATGTGGATGAATGATGTGAAATATAATCAAGTGTTAAATCAGACTTTAGTTCCACCTGGAGTAAATTCACAAGCTACCCTGCAGTATACAAAGTCATTCAAACTAGCTGCACCTTTACCAGCTTTGAGAACACTTTCATGATCAATCATCATAAAACATATCATATATATTATTCTGAAATGGAGCCTCAGTGACCTTTGAGATATCACCCTCTTTCAATCCCAAGAAATCATTCCTCCTCAAAGACACATTCACCTCTGACAGACTTTCACTTGTGGACTAGAGTTATCCTGTGGATGAACTCAAGAAACACTATCTCCGCCTACAAGGCCTTCCCCTTCCCTCTTTTCCAAAGTGCAGCCTCTCCTACTAATAGGTGCAGATAACTTTCACCTCATTACCCCAACCAAAAGAGTCTCTTTGGGTCCACAGGGGGCACCAATAGCCCTCCAGCTAGGTTCAAATACAAGATCTCACTCCTCACCCATCAGTGCATCCACTGGAACACTCCTTCATACCTCAAGGAACTACTCTCCTCACAAACCTCCACACGCAACCTCCATTCTACAACCAACCATCTGCTTCCCCCCCCAGGACCAAACTCTGCACCATGGGGGGGCTTTCTGTTCACCTGTGGAATTCCCTCCCAGACAAACTGAGGACTCCACAGACCACTGGCTCCTTTAAGAAGGGCCTAAAAACTTTCTTTTTTTTTTAAAGCCTTTTATTAAACTGGTGTTTATTTAAAAAAAGAAGTATATTATGCCCCTTGTAGCACTTTGAGATTACTTTTAGCAATGAAAGGTGCTTTACAAATAAAATGCATTATTCTTATTATCATTAGGTTGGACACTACAAAGGCCCCCCCTATTCAGGAGCCATCGGATGCCCCCCAGATTCTCTTCACCCCAACTTGAACCCCCGATGCCGAACTCAGTCGTCAGGTGGAAAAACTATGGCAGATAGGTGTCCTCCCCTTTGTTGGGAGTCGGGAGAGCTGATAATTTATTCCGGCAAATTACTCAGACCTACTAATTGACCTAACAGAAGTTATTGAGTCTATGTACATTTACTGCTTGGCTCAGATCCACCAACGTCAGCAAGATCTCACCTCTATTAACTCCTGAAGAACCAGGTTCAATTAACTGCTGTTTCAATTCAGACGACCCGCTAAATCTGTTTAAGCGATCCCGAAGGATTTTGGTATCAGTAGTGAGGTGTTGCCCTACCTAAGTGTGAGTGTGGCAGTGTGCAATCTTACCTTTCAAGCAGGAGAGGAGAGCACAGATGTCTTTTAAGTTGTCCCAATACAAAAGGTGGGATCAGTTTATTTGAAGAAAAATTGGTCCACACTTATACAGGGTTTTTACCTTCTCTCGTTACATGACAATAATATAAAACATATCATGCGGTGGTCATTTTCTAATCTGAAACCTTAATTCATAGTTTAGACATTTATTACACAAAATTGTAACTCCAACTTCCCAATTCAGTTGTGACATTTAAAAGTGTATTTCTCCTTAAAGGTGGGGTAGGTAAGTTTGAGAAACCGGCTCGAGATCGCTAGAATTTGAAAATACACAACCGGAGAAAATCTGCCACTTCCTTACAGAGCCCCTCCTCCAACACACACGAACGCGCACATGACCAATGAGGGCACGAGATAAGTTTGTGCACAGATGGAAGGCTGACAGGCAGGTAGGCCATCCAGTTATTTTAGCCGGGCCGGCTCAGATGATTGGTCGTACTTTTTACAGTACTACGGCTTCCACAGATGACATTTTTTTAAGGATTTTTTGTTTGTTGTTGTTGGATCGGGATGTTAAGAGCATTCCATGGAATATAACAAAAACTGTATCTCGAGCCGGTTTCTCAAATTTACCTACCCCACCTTTAAGTCAGGAGCCCCCCTCCCTGTGTACTGCTGTGAGGGAAGAGGGAAGAAACTGTCTCTCCTCTCTTATCAGTGACACCCATAAACCATAATAGGCCTTACACACTCAATTTAACAAACCACTTGTGTTTTGTTTATACTGTAAATATAGAAAATCATAAAATATGAAGCATTTTCATTTTGGGTTATACAAGAATATAATTGATTATAATTCACTTTCATTTTAAGTATTCAACCTAATATGGAGATCTCAACACTACCCTGCAGTATACAAAGTCATTCAAACTAGCTGCACCTTTACCAGCTTTGAGAACACTTTAATGATCAATCATTATAAAACATATCATATATATTATTCTGAAATGGAGCCTCAGTGACCTTTGAGATATCACCCTCTTTCAATCCCAAGAAAACATTCCTCCTCAAAGACACATTCACCTCTGACAGACTTTCACTTGTGGACTAGAGTTATCCTGTGGATGATCTCAAGAAACACTATCTCCGCCTACAAGGCCTTCCCCTTCCCTCTTTTCCAAAGTGCAGCCTCTCCTACTAATAGGTGCAGATAACGCTCACCTCATTACCCCAACCAAAAGAGTCTCTTTGGGTCCACAGGGGGCACCAATAGCCCTCCAGCTAGGTTCAATTACAAGATCTCACTCCTCACCCATCAGAGCATCCACGGGAACGCTCCTTCATACCTCAAGGAACTACTCTCCTCACAAACCTCCACACGCAACCTCCATTCTACAACCAACCATCTGCTTTCCCCCCCAGGACCAAACTCCGCACCATGGGGTGCTTTTAAATACTATTATTAAACTTGTGTTTCTTTAAAAAGTATATTATGCCCCTTGTAGCACTTTGAGATTACTTTTAGCAATGAAAGGTGCTTTACAAATAAAATGCATTCTTATTATTCTTATTCTTATCATTAGGTTGGACACTCCAAGGGCCCCCCCTATTCAGGAGCCATCGGATGCCCCCCAGAGTCTCTTCACCCCAACTGGAACCCCCGATGCTGAACTCAGTCGTCAGGTGGAGAAACTATGGCAGATAGGTGTCCTCCCCTTTCAGGAAGAGCAAGGCATCACCAGATCCAAGAGCCCCTCCAGTCCAGTGGACCCCCTTCCAGCAGCTCATTGACCGGGTCCTGCGTCCCACTCTCAGTATGCAGATATCCGGATGACTACATCGTTCAAAGTGAGATGTTGGGGCAGGTAAAGGCGGGGCTCCAAGCTAACCTGAAGAAGAGTGAGTTGGGGTATCTGGGGTCGATGGAGTCTCCTCTTTGGTGCCGGGATGGGTGGGAGGTGGTGGTAGGTAGCAGCAGGTGTACACATCTTTCTTCTTAAGAAAAGCTTTAAGTACAATTGATTGTTTTTGTTCATTTAATATTGAGGAGAGCTAACAGGAAGTCTCTCATCAGCTGCAGCCTTCTTCTTTATTTTCCAAAATGCCTCCACGCTCCTCTTCACGTCTCAAACTCGCCCCGTGATGAATAAACTGAGAACAAATAAAACCTGAGCTTGCAGATTTGTCTGGAACACCAGAAAAACGTGTTGAAACCTCAATAAATAAACTTCACACGGTACGACCTCTCACCTTTCTGTGTGTCTTCACTTCCTGTCACCTGAGAGGAGAAGGAGAGAGAGAGAGAATAATGATGATAATAAAACTAAGAGAAACAGATAATGATGAAGAGACAGAAAGAAGAGTGTTGTTTTCCTCTGAGGTCATGCTCCATTAAAGAGTTTCATATCTTGATGAATGGAGGATATGGTTTCAGTACTCACAGGTCTTCTGGATCTTGGCTCTGATCGTCTTTCCTTGTCCATATTGTCCGATCCTGTCGAGATGAACACAATCCAACAGTTTAAGATCCAGTTTAAAATAAGTGTTAGTTCTTTGAGTCAGCTTCAGAGTCCTGATCTCATGCTTTACATCCCATCATATCTTCTCTGCAAACACTACGACTGCCTGCCACAGCTCTCAGCTGCATGACAGGAAGTAACCGGTCATTGGTCTAGAACAGGGGGGTCCAAACTTTTTTCACCGAGGGCCGCATACAGAAACATATATAAAGGTCTGGGCCGCTCTCTAGAGGTTTACTGCCTCATAAGTTCAGTTATAAGTCAGGAAACTCAATCAAATGAAGGTAAAGGATGCTTGTTACTTGAAGATGCTTTAAGAAACAAAACAGCTCTCAGCTCTCCAGAGGGTTTACTTTATTCTGTCAGCAGCTCATTCCTTTAAACAGGAGCTTCAAATTGATTATAATTACAGGAAATATGAAGGGTTTATTTCACGCTTGTTATAACAATAAGTTATTGGGCTTTTTTCTTATCAAGTTAGATTTGTTAGAAAATGTTTTCAGCTTTAATTGACTGAATTTATTTTAAAGGTGGGCTCTTATTAACACATGAATACTACTGTGTAATATACGTGTACATATATATTTAAGAAGTACAATACAAGACAAGCAGAAGTTTCATGTGTGGGCCATATTTCATTATACTTTCAGAATTTGCTGAGGGCCGATTCCGAGGGCCGCATTTGGCCCCCGGGCCGCAGTTTGGACACCCCTGGGCTAGAAACTGAAAACATCCCATAAGAACAGACTACCTTTCCCACTCTTCTGTAAAACCCCATATGTCTGTTAGAGAGTTGATTACTAAAGTGTGGCTTTGCATTTTCAGCTGGCCTTCTATAGTTGATGGAAGAATGAAAGAGCCTGCAGTCAGTGGGTAACATCACTGATCTGTTTCCCCAGTGAGAGAAACACCTCCCTGTGGTTCATACAATACTGCTGAACCAGCAGAGACCCCTTACTGACCAGAGAGTCTCCAGTCTGCAGTCTGGACTCTCCAGAAGATCTCTCAGCAGCTTCTCTGAATCCTGCAGATCGTTGCCTCTGAGGTTCAGCTCTCTCAGATGGATGTTGGACTTCAGAGTTGAGGCCAGAGCAGAACAGCTGATCTCTGACAAACTGCAGTTCTCCAGTCTGAATAAAGAAAACATGATGAGGATACAAATCAGTTTATAATCAGATGTGTTACTCAACATTGAAATGAATGGGAACAAAAACATATGTCTTCTTCAGAAAGTCAACTTTATCCTGTAAAACTAATATTACTTCAGATGAACTTTATTCAGACGTTATCGTTTACTAAATATTAAAAACATAGATTTACTTTTAACAACTAACATCTATTACAGTTCCTTTAAGAATCAGTCAACATTTATCTCTGCAGTTCTTACTTTAGTACCTACAAATGAAAGTATGAATAAAAGAACATTTACAACTTTATAGATGTAAGTTAATTATGTAGAAGAATCAGGTTGAATAACTAATGAAACATGAGATCTCCAGCAGTAACAGAGAGTCAGTGAACTGACCCGAGAGCCTCCAGTCTGCAGTCTGGACTCTCCAGAAGATCTCTCAGCAGCTTCACATCTGAATTCTTCAGATCATTGAGACTCAGGTCCAGAACTCTCAGATGGATGTTGGACTTCAGAGCTGAGATCAGAGCAGAACAGCTGATCTCTGACAACCTGCAGAACTCCAGTCTGAATAAAGAAAACATGATGTAACTTTAGAAAACAATGTTCCTGTTTGAAATAACTCCAGGTTTAATAATCTGATCAGAGTCAAACAGGGTTTTAAAGGTCTCCTATCATGCTATTTTTAGGCATATATTATGGGTCTCAGATATATACAAATATATAAAAACATGTCTATGATGTGTTTTGCTCAAAATACCAAACAGATCATGCATTTTAGAAATCCCTCATATCCCTCTGTTCCAGCTGTTAGAGAAGAGCAGGTTCGGGTCCTGAGCTTGAACAAAGAAACAAAGGAGGTGGAGCTGTTCCCCCGTTTTTAGAGATGTGTGTACGGAGGAAAAGAGAGAGGGTTTTGTTTCCTGACACTTTGTAAGTCTCCTGACACCGGGGACACATGGTGATGAAGAAAAGACATCAGGAAGTGACTTTTGCATGATAGGAGACCTTTAATGTCAGAGATGATGTAGAAACAATCCATTGATAATCTGGAACTTTAACTTTGATCAGATGTTTAACAACTCCTTCATCTCCCTCACAGCTCATCAGTACTGACAGCATCTCCACTGACTCATGGAGCACAGAGTGAGTCTGTGGAAGCTCAAACTCTCTCCCTCACACATTCACCTTCTCTTTGTTATTCTGATCAATATTCAGTCATTAGCAAAAATGGAAAAATAATTTTAATGTATTTTTTTCAAATTCAGAAAATGATAAATACAAACAGATGAAGTTCAGTCAGTGAACTGACCTGAGATCCTCCAGTCTGCAGTTTGGACTCTTTAGTCCAGAACTCAGCAGCTCCACTCCTGAATCCTGCAGATGGTTCTGACTCAGGTCCAGATCTCTCAGATTGGAGGGGTCAGACTTCAGAGCTGAGGCCACGACTTCACAGTGAGTCTCTGAGAGTCCACAGTAAGTAAGTCTATAATAACACATATATTACAACATGTGTTAAAAAAGAGGAAACATAATGACCTCAAGCATTTGATGAAAAAAATATTTGACATATGTTCTGATTGAGATTTGCTGTTAGTCCATTTTATATATAATAATATATGATAATAGAGTGTAATGTATTGTCAGTGTGATCTGATCACAGGTCTGTGCTCCTGCTGTCACTGACTGTTACCAAAGAAACAGAAATTAAATAAATCACTTGACAATATTAGAGATGTACATATTTAAATGTTAATTAATATTTAGATGTGAATGATGGATGTTTTGGCTTCTCTGAGCATCTGGAAATGTATTGTGCACACAAACACAGTTAACAAACCAATAAAGTTTCAATATTTTAACCTGAATACCATCAGATGATCTCACTATATGAGTATTAAGACATAACTCTGGTATTGGTGGGATATGATATAGATCTGATTTTAAACTCTAACACATTGTGATAAAAACGTGTGTGTGTTTAATGATAAAGAAACTACTAGAAAGTAATAATAACTGATAACTGTAAGTCCTGCTGTGTGGTGTGATCACATGCTGAGAAACCTCTCAAGTCCTTCATGTGTTTGACATGTCGCCTCCATCACTCAATATGAAGAGAGAAACGCTTCAGTTTAACTATTATTATAAATAAATAGAAGAACAGTGTTGGTTTATTTTGCTCTCAGTATTTAAACAGCAGAAATGTCATAGTGTTTATTTGAATAATTAAACTTCTGATCCACATTAGTTTATAAAGTTAATCACATCTGGACTTACTTGAACTTCCTGCAGTTCCTCACAGCTGGAATCAGTCTCCGTCGTCCCTCATCTGATGTGTTGTACTTAGTCAGGTCCAACTCATCCAGAACCTCCTCTGACATCTGCAGCATGTAGGCCAGAGCAGAGCAGTGGATCACAGAGAGTTTCTTCTTTGATCTATTCTCTGACTTCAGGAACTCTGTGATCTCCTGATGTACTGAGAGGTCCTTCATCTCTGTCAGACAGTGGAAGATGTTGATGGTCCTGTCAGGAGAGATTTTATCACTGCTCATCTTCTTCAGGTTCTTGATGGCTCTCTGGATGATTTCTGGACTGTTGTCTGTGCGACCCAGCAGCCATCTGAAGAGCCTCTGGATGAATGTTGGTCTGTTGTCTGTGCGACCCAGCTGGCCTCTGATGGCTCTCTGGATGATTTCTGGACTGTTGTCTGTGCGACCCAGCAGGCCTCCTAACAGTCTCTGGTTGGACTCCAGAGAGAGGCCGTGGAGAAAGCGGACAAACAGGTCCAGGTGGCCATTTTCACTTCTGAGGGATTTCTTCATGGCTCCCTTTAGGAAGACATCCAGGGATGGGTAATCCTGATCTATGCGGTTACTGTTCTCATAGTCCCAGTCTCTCTTCAGGAAGTCCTTCAGTACCTCTGTGTTCCTGTTGGTGTAACAGTGGAACAAGTAGACTGCAGCCAGAAACTCCTGAATGCTCAGATGAACAAAGCAGTAGACTGTTTTCTGGAAGATCACGCTCTCTCTTTTGAAGATCTCTGTACAAACTCCTGAGTGCACCAAGGCCTCGGTGACATCAAGACCACAACGCTGCAAGTCTTCTTGGTAGAACATGATGGTTCTTTTCTCCAGATGTTCAAACGCCAGCCTCCCCAGCTTCAGAAGAAGCTCCCTGTCAGCCTCCGTCAGCTGCTGTGGACTCGTCTCATGTCCCTCTTCATACTTCTGCTTCTTCCTCTTGGTCTGGACCAGCAGGAAGTGTGAGTACATGTCAGTGAGGGTCTGGGGCAGCTCTCCTCTCTGGTCTGTAGTCAACATGTGGTCCAGAACTGCAGCAGTGATCCAGCAGAAGACTGGGATCAGACACATGATGTGGAGGCTCCTGGAGCTCTTGATGTGAGAGATGATTCTGCTGGACAGCTCTTCATCACTCGATCTCCTCCTGAAGTACTCCTCCTTCTGGGCATCAGTGAAGCCTCGTACTTCTGTTACCCTGTCCACACACTCAGGAGGGATCTGATTGGCCGCTGCAGGTCTGGAAGTTATCCAGACGAGAGCCGAGGGAAGCAGCTTCCCCCTGATGAGGTTTGTCAGCAGCACGTTGACTGAGGACTTCTGTGAGACATCAGACACAACCTTCTTGTTTCTGAAGTCCAGAGAAAGTCTGCTTTCATCCAGGCCGTCAAAGATGAGCAGCACTTTGCAGACAGCCAGCTGCTCTGCTGTGACCTTCTGTAAGGTTGGATGGAAAACATGGAGCAGCCTGAGAAGACTGTACTGCTCACCTTTGATCAGGTTCAGCTCCCTGAAGGAGAGCGGGATCACCAGACTGACATCTTGGTTTTCC